GAGGGGAAGATAGGGAAGTTTTGTCCAAAGCCTTCCAACATGTTCAACCCTCCTTCACCTGTGGAAAACATTCCATGGTGCTGAATTGTGCTTAATTGCATCACAATTGCATGTTTGTGATAGGAAAGTTTTAATTAAATCTGACACATGCAATCAACATCTGATTTATTATTCATGAGCAACCATAATTGATAATCAGGAAAAGTAGTTTATTTTGTGAACCCCAGAGATCTGGGTAGACACGCATTGTTAAGAGTTTTGTTTATGCATGGCCTTGGTATCATTACTACCTGGATGATACAATTGTTTGTTATGTCAATGATGATATCAAATGTATCACATAATAATCATGACCACCATGAATATTCGATGGATGGAGGCATTCACATACAAGGAAATGATTAAATAGCTAAGTCATGTTTGTTTTGTTAAAAACATATGATTAATTATACAATAAAAAAATTGCACAGAATCTAAGACTGCACCATTATGTCCATCAAGCTATCAAGCTGTTATGTTTGTGCATTATTTAAAATTCTTTTGTGGTCCCATCTTTCTTTGCTTATATATAATCTATTAGTTCTCTTTTTACTGGTCAAATGATGCCAAATTTGATAATGGGTATCAGCAAATACCAGAATCTGATTATTCTTTAAAAAAATAATCAAGGTATTAGTATACTGATAAGTTAATAATATTTTTATCATATAGTCTAAAAGCCTATTAGTAAATATTGAAAATGCTAAATATTCTTTTAAAATTAATTCTTTTTTTAGTTAATTATTGGCTTAGTTTAATAAACCAATAGCCCTTTATATTGTAATTAAGTTATTGGTTAAATATTTCTAAAGCTCTTTGTACTAAAATAATATCATATCTTGAGTAGCAGTTAGAGTTTTCTATTCAAATGTTTATTTGAATAAAACGAAATAAAACGAATAAAACGAATAAAAGCAAATAAAACGAATAAAATGAATAAAACGAATAAAATGAATAAAATGAATAATAATTCAAATAAAAGCATATAAAGCATATAAAACAAAACTTGTATTATGAATAGAAACTGTGCATTAATACTAAAATCAAAAAACAATAAATAAACAAACAAATAGCTTTTATTACGAAATAATTAATTTTGTTCCTTTGGTGTTAATGATTGAATTGATCACACAAGCAGTAGTCAATTTAAACAGCATTGTTTTTAAAGAATTTATTCAAAATATTTATTTAATTATTTTTAATGTTGCAAAAATTTTTTGTGTTTTTGAAAGAATATTAACTCATTTTATTTTAAATAAGGAATAGGCAGTAAGTGCTTTTTATCGTTATTATTACATTCGATGTTATTCTTGATTTTCATTTTATTTTAATAAATAGAGGATAATAAGGACGGACATAACGCAAAATCAATTGGCCAATATATATAATTTTCAACTAAAAAAATGAAGAACCATTCATTGTATATTGTCATACTTAATTTTTGATCTAAACTTCTATCAATATTCATAATCATCCAAAGAATTTAAATCATCATTTAAATAATTATTTAAACTACAGTCAAACCTTTGTTTGACGAATTATAATCAAATTTGCATTACTGAAACGTGAATTTAATTATAATTCGTTGTAACATAGATTTAATTATGTCTCCTGATAGATTCGTTGAAGCTGTAATAAAAACATTAATCTATTACAATCGTACCTTATTTTTTAAATATAACTTTCTTTCTGATCTTTCTGCATAAATCAAGAACTTTTTTAAATAGTAATATTTTTCCGATGAATAAATCTTGTTAATTGTTATCCAAAGACCCAGAAGAGCGAGTATAACGATAACGAATAAATGACCGGTTATTAATAACATCAAAGGAATAAATATCATTCCTGTCCAAAAGACAATATCATATGAGTGTAGCAAACCAAAGCTTGCTGGTGTGGCAGCAGAAAAATGAGATGTTTTGACTGTCGGTTGCCATACCATGAACTGCAGGCGTTCTAGATCTATTAATAATATGAAATGGAATACTAGTAGGATTCCAGGTTGATATTGTGCTAGAGGGTGAGAAGGAACCGGGCTATAATTTGTATATTTTGTAGTATTGTCTTGTACAATGGTTTGGCTCTACCATTTTTACTAAAGCAGTTATTTATAAGCATATATTAATAATATATATTGGGAGAAAAGAAGAAGATAATACAAATACTTGATAATACATAGGGATTACTTTTTAACATTGACCAACTATTTACAATCATCCAATTCAACTCGAGCTTTCACAGTGCCAAATATCCATTATAAAGACAGTGATTGTTTCACGGACCAGAGGGTCTTTATAAATTTATACGATTACAGACAGGGTCTACCATACCCTCTCTTCTACCACCATAATGTGATGATTGAATGAATTTTTTTAGGCCCTTTGAAAATGTAATGGTCTAATGTAATTTTTTTTAAACCAAAATCAAAGTAATTTATAATTAATAGTCAAATATATTTTGTAGTTAAAATAATTAATATTGAAGTTGCAAACCTGTGATCTAGTAAGATTGTTGGAATAACAACCGATGCTACTAATTAATGATGGTTCATCTCATGCCAATATGTCAAGCATCAAGACTGGACATGATCACCTACAACAAGTCTTTTAGGTTACGTATTGATCTGCTCTGTAATCTTGATTTGATGTTCAGCTACACCATAAACACCAGCATTCGCTCTACTTATGACAATAACTTCATCTCCAATTTTGAAGATTAGTTCACAAGATGGTTCATCAGTAACTTTTGAATATTAAATTTAATATCAATAATTGCTTTAAAGTGACAATTATTGTTGGAATTATTGGTAACAAAAATCCAGCACAATCTCATCCATGCTATATGGGACTAAGGCCATCAACAATCTATTTAGTTCAGTAATGGTGGTATTTTTTTAATAACTAAATAAATAAAAATCAATATTCACCAATTTATTAATTCCGTGTCTACTTTTCTATAATTTTATTGTCCATTGATCTTTTTACATGTGAAAATTTATTATCATTATGAAATAACGATTCTATAAATATTTACGTATATTTGACAAATCCACATAATAAACATTTATAAAAAGTTTATAAACTTGCCTTTTGTACATCATCCCTTAATTAGATCTCTGCTGATAGCACTTTCATTAGATATAGCGAGTATGCAGTATGCTCTTTATAAGATTTAAGAAATTCCACCACGAAATATTCATCATATATAATACATATTGATCAAAAAGATTATAAAGTTAAATCAAGTTTAAGCCATCCTTTTTTTTTTTTTTATGATAATTTACCTTACATGCAGAGCTACTAACAGCCAAATCATCATCCGGAGTTGTACACTATCTTCAGCATCCATCATGATGTCGCTTAGGAAAAGCTTAATATTAGAAAATTTTAGTGATTAAATAATCGGAATCCTATTGGATGGATAATTTATGCTATGTGATAGGCGCGCGTGACAATTAAATCTTATTTTTTAGGTAAGTTCATTTTCTTATAAGGATATTATCATAAAACCATATTTGATTCAATGACGAACTGGTTTTCATAAGAAGGCTAAGGTGAATATGAAGATGAAGATGAAGATAAAGATAAAGATAAAGATAAAGATAAAGATGAAAATGAAAATGAAGATGGAGATGGAGAAGGTGAAAATGAAAACATTGTTATGTATAATCATAACAACAATGACAATAGTTTTCTTCTACTACCACTACCATTACTATTACTAATACTTTTAATAGTCAATTACTTGCATATAAAGAAAGTCCTTATATATAATACATATTAATTAATTAATTTCTATGGAACTATTTTAAAAATCTTTTCTCTTGATTAATCGATAAATTAAAATAACATGCATATTTAGAACAATCTGGACCATTGAATATTTTTCTTGCGGCGGTGTACACAAAATTAAAGTTGGAGGAAAACGATAAAACTTGCACAAAAAATCCGAATAAAAAGAATATTTTTATTGTTATTTATTAAGTGGATGATCAGGATGAATGAGGTGCGCGAAAAGAAAGAAAATTTATTTTGTACATTTTTTAATATCAAGACAAATTCGTAAACTTATTTGTGTAATATTTCATTTATTTCCACTTTAAGCAACAATAAAACTAAAAACTTTAAATCCTTCTCCCTCCTCACACACTCTCACATTCCACCATTTCCTTTTTTTTATTTGTTTATTATAAACCTGATGACTTTTTTATTTATTATTTCTTTAACTTTGGTTTATACATAACAAAAAGGATTAAACCTCCAGTTACAAATTAATTGGTTCCAAAAACAATATATAATATTGTTATTATGCCCAAGGACTTTTTTTTTTTAATTTCTATCCGAATAAAGATTTTGCGTTTGTGTAACTTTAAAGTTTGTTTCCTTTTCTGTATAAAAATTGCACGTGAATTATATTTTGTATTGTTTTCGCAATATAGAGCTCTAGCTAATAATAATACAAAAATTATAATTGGCAAATTATATATTAAATTAGGACTCAATTAATAACCAATCAATAAATGTTAACAGCCAAGAGAACAATTTGAAAATCAATGTAATTGAAGATTCAAGATTTATTACCATTACCATTTCTGTTTATATTTTCCTTTTTTTTAATTCTATTATTATTATTATTAATTAATTTATCTATCGCCAACTTTCCCTCTCACCTGAAACCCTAAAGTCCACGTACGCGCACACGATCGCTTGCTCTCTCGCACGTTCACACGCGCGCGCACATATACATATACGCACGCACGCACGCACGACGAGCACATCAACACATATTTAAATCAATCAGATCAATCTCGCATCATGAAAAAACCTTTTAATAATTTATTTATTACGAATTCCTAAACATTCCTATCTAATGAATAAATCATTATTATATATATACTCACATCACCTATCAATATTAATATACACAACACATTTAACGTCCAAGAATTTAGGAATAGGAAATCAGTCCATATTAAAAAACACATTCACATAATCAAATCAATCAGTCAATCAATCAACCAACCAACCAACCAACCAATCAATCAACCAACCAACAAAGCAAATTATCGTCACAATCAAAAAAACCAAATATTTTTAATATGTACATATTTGACTTTTTATCATATTATTTTACTAATATGCTGACAAAAACTAATGTGTAGTAATAATAAACTGAATTTATTTTTCTCAGTTCCCTTCACTTCTCCTAATTATATTACATAACCTTGTACAATAGAAAATGACAAATATTGTATGTAATATTAAAATGGAAGTGATGGGCAGTGTTTATGAGATCCCCTCTTTATTATTATTTTGTTGGTTGTTGGAGCGTTTGTTTATTTGTTTGTTTGTTTACAAGACAACATCGGATAAGAAAACTAAATGAGGGGAAGGAATTTAATGTTTGGCGTGCGTGATATTTATTATCTGTTATTAATTTTCACTCGTTCATTCATTATTAACTGATTTTTACCACGAATATTAATGTTACACATAAAGTAAATATAAATATATAAATATATCATTGATGTTGTATTGTATAAAACAAAAGTTTGATGATTAAAATAAATCATGATGTATTTATTTATTTAAGATTTTCTTATCTAAAATCTGGAGTAGAATTTAAAAAGAAATCTTTATATCCCAAAGGCAAACAAACAAACCTTGTATCATAAAGTAAATATCATTATTATGTATTGTTGTGAATGCTAATTTTTCTGTCATTCCGCCGAATGGAACGAGTACCAGTAAAAATGTAATTCTAATTATGTAATAACACATCGTTCTTCCATTCCCTTCATCCTGATATCAGATGTGTGAACTTTTGATTCTAATAAAGCATTTACATTTCGGAAATTATGTGTCACTGAATAATACATTCATTACTTTCTTAAGACAATATTATATATATATGAAATGAAATAATAATAATTAATGGTTGTAAATTATTGTTTAAATAATAACAATGGATAAATGATTTGATTTCATGAATTAAATCTTATTTATTAACAAAAAATTAATTATACAAATAAAAGAAATAATAAAATTAAAATATACATTATACAATTAATATATGCAAAAAAATTTTACAAAAAAATAATAAGTAAAATAAAAATTATAAACTTGAATTATAAAACTATATATAACTTTGAAATCTTAAAAAGTTCTTAAAAAATATACATATATATATTTCTAGAGAGAGAGAGAGAGAGAGAGAGAGAGGAAGAGAGAACCTTTTATTTTATTTTATAATATAATTAATATAACTAATATGTTAGAAGAAACAAATAAATCAGTAAGGACCTTGAAAAGATCTACACATTTGTAAATCATAATCGTTATTAATAGTATTATTATTATCATTATTATTATTATTATTACGTGACATTGAAATGAATGATTTTAGTGGAGGTAAAGTTGTTGTTGTCGATAAATTCTGATTATTGTTATTAACATTATTATATTGTTGATGATAATTATAATGATGTTGTTGAGAATTATCAGATGTTGAATATGAGTTACAAACAAGATTATCACTGCGAGACGATGATGGGTAACTTGAAGGATTTGTTGGTTTACAAAGCAACAAACTATTATAATTTTGTTGTTGTTGTTGTTGTTGTTGTTGCGGCTGTTGAGGATAAGTAAAACAATCATTATCGGTAATATCATTGTTATTGCCATTATCTTTACTACCGGTATTATCTTTATCATTACCAATCTTCTTTTCATTATCATTATTAGCATTATTAAGATTCTCCCCATCGACATTGTTAACATTAACCTCCTCCCCATCAACGATCATATTCTTAACATTAACCTTATCACCAATTACATCATCACCATCTCCATTACTTTCGTAAAATTTGTCGTCTTGAAGTATGAATTCATCGAGATTCTTCATAGCAGATTTGAGCAAGCGTTTTTTAGGTTTATAGACATAACCGGGGTAAATTCTCTCGTGAACCTTCTTTGCCAATTCGGCTATAACCTCAAAGATCTCTCGAATGCTTTGAGATTCCCTCTCCCAAGATTTAGATGCACGTTTTGAAACCAAAGCCAAATTTGAACCCACGTCCGGCCCGTGCTTAAGAACCAGCTTTGCTTGTAAATCTTTTCGATAGATTACAAATAAATTTTGTGGTCTAGGTATATTGCCCTTACGAGATTTCAAAGTTGGACGAATCAATTCTTCGAGCGGTAAGGTTATTTGTTTATCGATTTTGCTGCGAGTTTCTGGATCAAGCTCAGAAATGACTTGGTTAATTAGTGCTGGATCAGGGAATCTTTGTGATACTGATGAATGGTGGTGATGGTGAGCGTAAGGATGATATACACTAGTGGTATATAGGTGTGATGGATATGGTGGATAAGAAGAAGAGTAGGGAAAAGGGTAAGAAGAAGGGTAAGAAGAAGGGTAAGAAGAAACAGGGTGATGATTAATAAGAGGTCGAAGTGCAAGTGGAGGCTGAGCAATAGAAGAAGAAAATGATGGTAATGATGATGATGGTGGTGGTGGTGGTGGTGGTGGTGGGTAGCTATCATAATTGTTGTTATTAAAACGTTGATTCATAATGTTAGATGGTGACAAATAATTAGAATTCATATTACTATTGTTATAATAATAATTAGCATTGGCATTATTACTATTATGGCTGTTGTTATAATCATAGTTAACGTTGTTGTTGTTGTTGTTGTTGTTGTTGTTGTTGTTGTTGTCGTTGTTGTCGTTGTCGTCGTTGTTGTTAGAATCTTCAATCATTAAAGACGACAAAGAAAGTTCTGGAGAAAGCGTCATAGGAGAGGAATTATTTGGAGTTGACGAACATGCTGGGGATGTTGGAGAAGGGTTTGATTCTGGAGGCGATGGAATATTATTGTTTTTATCGTTTGTTGAATCAGCATCTTCCATACAAAAGTGAGGTTCTAAGTTTTTTTGTCGTTGTCGCTTAGATATCTTTCCCATAGTATTTTATGTCGTAAAGAATAAATGAGAAATAAGGAATAAGGAGGAATGAAAGAACTTGACGTTTATTTTAATTTTTTTTTGTGGTAAAAAGTTAAGATTTTTTTTTTTTTAAGGGCAGGAAAAAATTTTGATGACAAAAACAAATTAGAAATAATTTTTTTTACGTATTTATATAAATTTGTAATAATTATATTTTATATTGTATGTATGTTTATTATGTGTCAATAAAAAACAATTAATTACCAAAAAAATAAATTTCGCGCGCGGTCTTTTCGGAGACTTGTGCACGTATGTGTGTGTGTGTGTGTGTGTGTGTGTGTGTGTATATATATATATATATGAAGATGACCAAGATAAAATAAAGGAACCGAGAATTCTTATATAATATATTATTTATTTTATAAGATTTCAATTTATCAACTTTATTTTCTTTAATAATTTATAAAGTAAAAATTTGTCTCACAGAATGAAAATACTTTTATAGGATAAATATGATTGTCTGCAAGTTGTCATAATCGAATATACTTTATACATGTTTATTTAACGTTAGATAACATAAAATGAAAAAAATCATAAATCATAAATCATAATCATAAATGAATCAATCATTCATATTAATTTCAGTAAGAGCCACATTTTTTTTTATTTTGCTTTAATATAATCAATAATCAATAATCAATAATCAATAATAATAATAATATAAATCAATAATCAATAATTAATGATAATCGCACAACAATAGCAATAATTGTAATATTATATTGCTTTACGCTCCTTGATTTTTGAAAAGGAAACCAAAGCTTAGATGACGATGACGATTTCTTTGTAATAGAAGTGATGACGATAACGGCGCTGATAATGAATTACAAATCATAATTAATCGTGATATTTTAATTTAGTATTGTCAAAGAACATATGAATTTTTTAGTTAGTACCACTATTTATTATTATTATTATTATTTGTTATTATTATTATTTGATAGTAATAAATAGTAACAAATAATCGAATGTGTTTGTCTAAAGGTTTTTTGTTTCTATTTTCAGTAAATAATTAAAAAAGGGATGAAAAATAAATAAATGGATTATGTTTTGAACCAAGTTATTTCTTGTGTGTGTGTGTGTGTATGTATCTGTGTGTAGCAACTGTTGTGGCCTGTTTTGTTTTTAAAGTTAAAAGTTAATTCTAAAATTTAAAATTTTGATTTATTTAAATCCAAAATTTCGGATAAAAACTTGATTGGTAATATAGAAATTGATGATCATTTATGACATTGCATAATTAATTATAATCTTAAAAAAGTAAGTAAACCATTTACCACCCTCTTAATAATAATACGGATTTTTATTTTCCTTACTTTGTAAAATCTAATTGTCTTTAATTACGTTATTTTTTAGTTCTAGAAATAACGATAATAACATAAAGGATATCATAGTCATGCACATCTACACAACATTACAATCATAATTAATAATTGTGAATAATTGTGGCTTTGTGAATGAATCGCCTTGATGTTTAACAATAATGTGCGTGTGTGCGTGTGATTAATAAACATACATCAAAATTATTCAAATTTGATTTTTTGTGATTTTAATTACATTAATTTATTTTCTGCATGTTTTAATTAGCTACTTTGTTCATTCATTTACCCCATTAAATCCATTATCAGATTATGTGATCTTCCTTCTCTCTCCAATTATTCAATTATCCATTTTTGTTCTCTCCCTTGCCTCTAAGACATTTCCAATTACTATAAAAAGTAATCGCTTGATTATTAATTCTATTATGCACAATAATTTCATTATATTTTTTTGGCAAAATAAAAATCGAATTTTTAAAAATAATTGCTATTATATATTATTAATTATTGACTAGATGTCATGTATTATTATTATTATTATTGATTATTGATTATATAAATAATAAAATGATTACTTACTCAACATGTATCACCTGCATCAATTAAAATCAATTCGTAAAAGTAAACTTAAAACTATTCACAGTACGTAAATAGTAATTGATAAAAGAATTTTTTATAAAAAAACAAAGAATTCCTGTTCAATCCTTGTGTGTTTAATTCATTCACTATCTTCTACCATCTATCATAATTATAACATCCATTTCTTGATTGTTGAGGTTTCCTTTTTTTCACCCTGCAAATTTATTATAATTGTTTTTTTCTTGTTTTACAAAAATGAAAAAAATAATACAAAGTTTTTTATAATTGAAGAAATGTTAGAATACTTACAATATTGATAATGACAACGATAATAATAATAATTATAATTATAATTATTATTATTATTATTAATTAAGCATGAATAAATTTATTTTACAATTTTAATTTAGATCATGGATGGATAATCTAAATTTTCTTCTCATTGAATAGTCGCGTAAGATTGAATGTTTGTTTCATAATGTTTGTTGTTGATATTGAACACAAATTTTACTAATTGTTATGCATGTAAATTCATTTTCTTTAATGCTGTATTTAGATAATAATTTTATTATTATTATGCATACAAGTTGAAACAAAAGAAACAAATGAACGAATCGTTAACTATTATTATTGGATAGTTGATTAATTAACTAATATTCTATTGCTTGCGTTTTTTAATATATAGTAATAAATTTTTTAGATCTTTTACTATAAGAATTGGCCCACCCACGCCAATAACTTATCTATATTGTTTTCGGGGTCCTTACAGAGAGGTGCAAATTTTGAAAAGTAAATTTAATTACAAGTCGTGTGATTTCAAACGTAAGGTTTTTACGGAAAAATTCGATATGATTCTTAATTTAAACCGATATTGTGATGTGATGAGTTGCGCGCAATTGCAAGTTTTTCCTTCAGAAACTAGGATATATAAGCTTTACATATTAATATTATTTATTATGCGAGGTTTCAAGAAATTAACAAATTTGGAATGTGTGTATATTCATTGGCTGTTTAATTAATATGCAACCATCAAATCAAATAAAAACATTGAATGAAAACCCGAAATTTATAAAGTGTTCGGACACAGTTTCTAAAAAATTTGCATGTCATTTGAGATTAACTGATTTTACAATTATAGAGGCTTGTAAATTCAAATAGTATGCGCAAATCACATGTAATATTAATGATATATGACGAAACCTTTGAATTTAGTCATTGACGTAACTAAGGTATTGACTAAAGGTAGTTTCTCACCAGGGCCGTTTTGACGATTTGACTAAAGTAAAAGCCCTTGCTTGACATACACTTGACATAATTGAAAACACTTGACATGAATAAAAAATGCTTGATACAAGTAAAACACTTGGTACAAGCAGCGATAATGATGATGGTAAAAAATGTGTGTCCCGGGGATAGATAAAAAATTATTATATCATTGTATGTATATTTCAATGAAGCAAGAAGAATGATTATCATTGGAAGTTTACAGATGTTATGATTTGAATTAGAAAATTTACTTAAACTACTTATTTTTTTCCGTATATTTTCTTTCAAAATAAAAATGCTTCTTACAAATTAAAACTATTCTTTTATTATTACATTTCATAAAATCAAATTGTCTTTAATACATATGAGTTGTGTTAAATTGATGTTTTTGACCCTTGAAGTTAACTACGCGTAATAGTAATACGTAATAATATTATATTAATATAATAATTTAGTGGTTGATGCTTATAACGACCTTTACATAACACATAAGATAGGTTTTGGTACATATTTTAATTTTGTTTTTTATTTTTATTACTTTTAAATCTTCAAAGAATGCTGAAATTCTTTTATTGTTGAGTCACGATAAATCGATCACTAGAGTTTGGTGATGATGAATCTTCGTTTTTTTCAATTTACGTCCTTATCAATTAATCCTGTTAGAGAAAAACTTAAGGTAATCAATAAAATATAAAAATGTTGTGCAAAAAATTGCTTGTTACATGTCATTCTGTTCTCCGCAGAGAAAAGCAAGTTTATAAACGAAAACGTAACAATGAGTTTCGGATATATTCATTCAGAGCATCAAAATTAGCACCGGATGCAAAATATCTTAGCATCATATCATGTGAATACATGATTAATGATGCAGTCTTTAATAAAAATAGACTATTTAATGACCAGATGGTGGATCGAGAAATCTAATAAATTACCACAAAAACATATAAATAGACCCGCTATCCCCCACTCGTGGACCAAAAAAACGGTCCATTGGTTTATTTTTTACGTTGCATTCGAATTCGAGGGTCGAAACGTGTAGTGCCGAAATGGCCTTCTGTGTATGATTTGGCTTTACACCTTACATTCAAATGCGAGGTCTATATATTCATTCGGAGCATCA